GGCTTAACCCTTACAGACATTTCTATCGGGCATATCTTCTGATTCTTTTTCTGGCGTATCTTCTCGCATTCAAGCTGGCAAATCTCTTGGCTTTCTAACCGACCTTCTTTCTGGCGTATCTTCTGGCACTCTAGCAGGCATATCTTCTGTTGCTTATTCTAGCGTATCTTCCCACTTCTTTTTGGCATGTTTTCTGGTATTCTAAGTGAAAATCCTGTGATGTGATATTCTACCTGGCTTCTTTCTGGTGTATTACAAGTGCCGGCAGATCTTTTGGGATTCTTGGTAGTGTGCAGCCCAGACTTGGCTGGTGACGTGTCACGCTCTCTATGGTGCGTGACCTGGCGCTCTCTATTGTGTGCAGCCCTGTGGTTGCCAATCTCAAAGTCAAAGCAGAACTGAAAAACTCGCGGACTAAGTTTACACAAGCAGCCTCTGGTAGATTTTAGTTGATACAGCTGTAAATTCATTCTTGAAATTTGTGACTATTTACTGCCCATTGGGGTCAACTACAGTTACAGGTGCATTGTTGGTTGATTTGTTCAAAGCCCTAGATTCTATCACATGCAGTGTTCGCGTGGCCGGCAGATATTTAAACTGTGTGGACGTTGAAGGTATCTCGCCTTGGCTATTGTCATTGGCATCACTCAGATTGTTTCCAATGTATTCTGCAGAGTTACCGCTTCGCACATACGGATGTGGAACACCTTTGCACACTGCCCAGCACCTTGCATTACATTTTCCTGACAGACCTGTTGTTCTCCTTGCGTATGGCAGCCCTGCAACAGTGAACGTGTCCTCTTTCTCTGGTCAGGGTGACTTGGCATGGTGGTTTTTGCAAGGTCAAAGTTTCGATCAGGTTCGGAACAGTGACATGATGTGGATGGTGTTGATCATTGTGTTCAGTGCACTTATATTTCTTTCAGCGAGTGTTGCAGCAATCAGAGCACTTTTGGTTGTTGTTCGAGCATTATTGCGCCAACTGCGGAAGACTTTTTTATGCAAGTTTCACCAGTGCAACTATACGTGCCGTGCGAACAGGCGTGCATGGCTTCTGCGAACTCAGATTTCTGAAATCGCTGTTGTGAAGCGAAACGATGACGCAAAGGGCTTTGCTTTGCCGGACAATGGCTTGTCAGCTGCGGCTGCTCTGGTATTGTTTGAATGCTTGGAAAGCTCTGAGTGGCAAGTGCTTAAAGACATGACTATACGTTTGGAGAGTGAGGGTGCCAGAGATGCTGTCCGGAAAGCTTTGATCGAAGATACCTTGGTTTTGCCCGGCATGCCTGCCCTTACAAAGCAGGACCGAGAGATTCTGAGGCTGATCAGATCCATTCTCAAAGAAAAGATCGAACCTGGTTTTGAAGCCACAGAGAAAGTCTCAAGGTGCTGCCCTGCAGGTCTTGCCATCAAAACCGTGGGCATGCAATCGTGCATAGCAGCACTGGGACATAGGAATCAAGAGGTTCAAGTTGCAGCTGCCATGGTGGTTTTGAGCCGCAGGGCGGAAGAAACCGATGCTGAGAACCTTGGCGTGGCCGCTGCAGAAGTTCTTGTTTGTGAACTCTTGGAAAGCGGACAAGCGGAGCGCTGTATGCCACTTGCGGATGTGTTGGGAACATTTTATTCGCACATGATTCTGGATGGCAACAGCAGTGAGTGTGGTTCCGGCTACCTTCATCCTTTTGGTGATTCATCAGTCATTCCATGGTCAGGCCGTACCAAAACTGCAATGTCGCAGTACCAGACACACCGCTGCACAACTGCCTTCAAGCACAGTACTTGGAGAATTCCTGACATGCAGCAACCTTGGATACGCAGCTGCACTACTTCTTTGAAGCACGAATCTTGGAGCATTCGACACAAAACTGTCCTGCTCCTGGGAAAACTATTGGAACATATTGTTAACTCTCTCGTTCGTGTAGTGCAAGATCCTGAGAATGAAGCCCGCATCAATAGGACGAAGCTGATTGATGTCCATTCATGGGTGGAACTCCTCACTTCCTGTCTACATGAATCAGCTCTTCGAGATGAGAAGGACGAAGTACGCAAAGCTGCAAGCATAGCGTGTGTAGCATGTCGCACAGCCCTTATGAAGCTCGAAAGCAGTCTGATGTTGAAGCCCGACCTTCAATCAAGCTTTCCTTGCCCTGAGTCACCCGACGCCTCCTCAGCAATTGCTTCACTGAGTTCGAATGCCAAGTGTTGGGAGACTCGATGGGCCGCAACACTTGTGCTTGGAAAGTGGGTAAAAAGCATTCTGAAGTCGCACAAGAATGCGATTTGCTTGGGCCAAACAAAGCCGAAGGACGAGGTTGCATTACTTGAATCTGCCATTTTGGCATTGGTAGAGGCTGCGAAGGACAGGCGAGAAGAAGTAAGGCGAGGTGCCGTCGAGGCCCTTGGATCATGTCTAGATGCGACCAATCAACTTGATGTCGAGGTGTTGAAGGCTCTCACCATCGAGAATGCTTCTTGCCCTCCTGACAGCGCTGCTTGCCAACTTGTTGGCTCCATGCGCCGTATGAAGATCGTGATATTGCGAGGCTGCCTAAAATGTTGCTTCAAGGCCTTAAGAGACAGAGATAAGAGCACTCGAAACGGAGGCACAGAGCTCCTTCCAAAAGCAGCAATCGGGTTACTCACCATTGCGCTGCAACGCCCTGGAATGGCAAATCAGGATGATGATGTGCTTTCATTGCTTAAATCCGCCATCTCCATACTTGGCACTCGCCGAGCCAGATACTCAGAAATGATACAGGGCGTGATCCAGGCTTTTGGATTGTGTGTGAATGCTCTTGACGACAAATTGGATGAGAGTGCACTGGCAAGTCTAATGGCGATGGCTGGTGAACACGACAAAGTCATTGGCACTGATTCTTCCAAAGCCATTCTTTCACTGGCTGTCATGAAAGCTTCAGTGCTTCAATGCTGCACTGCTTCAATTTTGCAGGACGACGGGTGCATGACTCCGTTGGAAGCTACAGTTTGGCTTGGAAAAACAATTGTCAAGCCACTCACCGTAGAAGCTCAAGACTCCGACGCGCTGAACAAGGCACTTTCCTTATCTGAAGCGAGCGTTTCATTGCTGAAGGCTGATCAGTTTGTTTCTGACTGCCGTGATCAACGTGCCCATTCACCAACGGCTTTGCTGGGTTCCCTGGCAGCAGTGCTACAAGGATGCTGCACACGCAGCTGCGTCACGGCTCTGAAGCAGAACATATACTCAAAACCAACTGGCCAGTTCATTCTAGAACCATTGAAGCATGTGGAGCATATTGTTAACTCTCTCGTTCGTGTCGTGCAAGATCCTGAGAATGAAGCCTGTATCAATGCAAGGAAGCTGATTGATGTGCATTCATTGGTGGAACTCATTCTTCTGCAGCTACTTTGTGCGCTTCAACATTTGGATAACGGTAATAGCCCCGCCGTGAACAAAGCCCTGAGAATCTTCTGCGATGCCCTAGAGAAACTTCTGGAAGGTGTAGTTGCGAACAGCGCCGACCTAACGCTTGCTCGAGCTTCCGAAACTCCTGTGCCGTCAGGTGATGTGGCAGATTCAATAATTCAATGCTGCCTCCAAATTTCCGTTGCAGGATTGAAGCACCAGCATTTGGAGATCCAACAACAAGTCAAGTATTTGCTTGGAAAGTATGCAGAAATTGCTCTCAAATCACTGACAAAAGCACTCTCTGTAGATGCAGGGAAGCTGAACTACATGGATGGGTTGTTGAAATTTGCCATGTCCACCACGTCTGCGCTATCGAAGATACTTGCAGACGAATTCCGACGTTAGGCGAGCCGCAACCAGGGCCTTTACGCACATGTTGGATATTCTCGAGAACTTTTTTGAACGCGTGTTGTTCCAGGAGTCTTGCACCTCATCATGTGCCGCCAGAGTTGGAAGACTCAAAGGCTGCTTTCAAGCCTTGAAGCATATCTTGAGCAAAGACAACTCTGGAGATGAAGCGAGGTGGGCAGCCGCTTGCATGCTTGGGAATGTTGTGGAGCGCAGCGTCGAGCTGCTCACTCTTGCCGGGCAAGATGTGAGGGCAAAAGTCATTGAAGCTGATGCTCAGCTGGACAATGATGTTCTTATTAAATCTGCAGCTGGTGCCTTGAAACTTGCTCTTGACACAGAAGCAGAGGTGAGACAAGAAGGTATTGTTTCCTTTGGATATCTTTGGGATGAACTTGGGAAACTTGAACATTCAGCAGCCTTGGCCGTTTCCTCACAAGGATCAGTGAAAGATGTAATACTTGAAGGCTGTGCTCGTGTCTTGAAGCGGAATGGTGCGAGGGCTCAATTGGCAACTGCCGAACTCCTAGGAGTATTCGCTACCAAAAGGCTCAATGTCGCACAGCGTTCAGAGATCCTTTCATTGTTTAAATCTGAGATTCCAGCATTAGTCAAAGCTCCGACCGAGAAGGATTTTGATGCAAGGCAAAGTCGGATCAAGGTCTTGCGGTTCCTCTGGGATTTGCGTGCAACACTTGACAGAGATGTGGTGTCGAACGATTCCAATACCTTACTAGATGGAGCAAACACTGCTATTCTCGAAAGCTGTGCTGAGATCTTCAAAGGGAACTGTGTGGAAAGATTGGCAGCGGCAGAACTCTTACCAAAATTGGCTGTGGAGGCCCTCACTGTTGCCCAGCGTTCACACCTGCTTTCATTCATTAGAGACAATGTTCCAACTTTTTCCCAAGCTCTGACTGACGAGGATTTCGATGCAAAGCAACGTTGGATCAAGGTGTTGTGGTTGCTTTGGGATTTGCTAGCAAAACTTGAGAGAGATGAGGGGCGGAGTGATGCAGCCACCACAAATTTGGCCCTTGCGTTGAAAGCCGATACGGCACCAGATGTCTTAAAATCTCAAATACGGGACAGCTGCTTGCCAACCTGTTTGGCAAGTTTGAAAGACGAAGGTCTTCGATTCGGGGCTGCAGTACTCATGCTAAAATTTGCAGAGCATACGATGGCATCGCTCACCAGTGCCATGCAAAATCCTGAGAGCAGAGGGCGTGTGAATACTTCCTCAAAGCCTGAGTTGGATATTCTGGAAGGCATCGTTTCAAGACTTTCAGAGCTCTTCTCCACCGGCTCCAAAGACCAGATTGTGATCAAAGCAAAGGTATTTGAGCAATTGCATCATTTGATCCTGATGGCCGCCAATCTTTCTTCTAATTCTGATTGCGCCGGCCGTTTAGAAAAGATGATCGCTCTTGTTTTGGAGGAAGCTGATGACGGGAGGAAGAAACTCATCACGAAGTTGTCTGAGGAATTGAGTTTGGAAGATTTGGAGTCCGACATACGATGGGCAGCTGCCTTGGAGCTTTGCAACATGGGGCAGCCATTCGCAGAGCCCATACTCATAAGTCTTTTGCAAAGCTACCTGAAAGATCCGGAAGGTCGTATGAAGAGGCAAAAAAGACATTATGTAACTGCAGAAGAATTAGCGGAAGGACCAGTAGATACAGGAGATTCAGAAGGACCTGAGAAAGAAGACTTGCTTTCAATTAGAACGAAGAAGGACATGGGGAAAGCAAAGGAATTTGGGGAAGAAGAATTGCTTTCATTTCTGCAAGGTGGAGTCTCGGAAAGTGGGTCTGAAGCTGAGATTCGTATCGCTCAATCAGTACATGCGCTTGCCAACTCCGTGGCGTCAGCAAAAGGAGCGGACAAAGCAGCGAGGGTGGGCAAGGCGCTCGAGCTTTTTCTCCAATTCATTGGAGCAGAGAACTCCGTCACACTGCAGAAGCTTGGTTTGGATGGAGTCCAAAGAATTGGCCACCAGGGCTTACCAGTCCTCATGAACTTGCTGGAAGAAGGTAACCCGGAGCAGCAAGCAGCCGCAGCAGTTGGCCTGGGGGTGGTAGCGAAAGATTCGATCTCCGTTGAGTCCGCGGAATTCGAGAAAGTCAACCCCTTTCAAAGATCTGTGTCCGAGCGACAGACTCCCAACTCCGTGAAACTCCTGCAGGATTTCATCGAAGAAAAGCTGTATGGTATGCACCCAGCTTCGCGCGCTAATCTGACTACTTCCATGCGAGTTGTTCAGCCAGGACAAAGCAGTGCAAAGAGTTGGCTTGTGACTTACTGGTATCATGCTCTGCGGCTAGTTGTGGATTTGCCATCGCCTTGGACACTAGTGGCCAGCGCCGCAGCATTTGTCCTCTTTAGCTCCCAGCATCCCTTGGCCGAACTGCTCAGCCATCCACACACTTTGGTGCGATCGCATCGTCACACGCAGTGGGGGTTCCATGTGCAAGGCACCGGCCTGCTGCACAGAAAGATCCAGCTGAGACATTCATGGGAGTCGTGGGTCCAGTGGTTTCGTCGAAGCTCGGCGCTGAAGGAGGCTCCCTTTGAACAAGTCCTCAGTCTGGATGAAGAGCAACGCTTTTGTGCTGCGCTGCAGGCGTTCCAATTGCTCACCCGTTTGGAGGTTGTTCCGAAGAGCGACTTAGCTGCTTCGACCTTCGCTGCTGTCTTTGCACGCTTCGGTCTGAAGGTTCATCGAAAGGACGGCCAGTTGGTTCTTGTGTCCGATGGCCGACGACCACGACTTCTCAACGTTGAAGCAATTGAGAGAATCGTTCACAGAGGATTCTTTCCTGAGCGATTTCATGCAACTTCTCCAGTTCTCTGTGTGCTACGACCTTGGTGGCTTTTGGTGGACATACTGGTGGTTCTGTTGCAGGTTGCAATTTGCATCTTGTTGATGCTACCACCGTTAGCGTGGTTCAGTATTTACGAATTGGCTCGCGTGCCATATTTCCCAATGTCACCGGTTGACAGCCTTACAGCTCTTCATTTCGGGCCACGCTTTGCACAGCTCTCCGAGAGGCTTTTGTTGTCTTCTCCAGTGTTGACCTGCACAAGTGCCATCTATGCAGCTGCTTTGTTTATGTCATTGGTCTATGCCTATTGCACGGAAAAGCTGCCGTTGGCACCCTTTCCCATCTTGCAGGCACTGACCAGGAATGAGAGATGCGGTGAAGATCTGATGCATGACCAGCCAACGTGTCAGCGGCGGTGCTATGTCATGGTTGCCGTCATGCACGGAATACCGTGGGTGGCATTCTTTCTATTTTTTGCCCAGGCCACCGGATGCAGTGCCTTGTTTCTCTGTTGGCTCGGCTTCGGTGTGGTTGTGGAGCCTGCACGATTTGTACCACTGGTCTCAGCTCTAGGCCAGGATTGAGCTGTTTTTTTTGGTGCGTATGCCACAAGTTGGATGATCAAGGATGATAACGATAAGTCTTGTCCCATAGCATTCATCCAATCCAAGAATTAGTTGTTCAATCATGAACTCTGAACATTCTCCACGTTAATATCATGTTTAAGCAGTGGGTTTGGTTTGGTGTAGCGCTTTCAAAGGAGGGGTTTGTGCGCTCCTTGATCTTGAGACGAGCTCCGCATGTCGAGAGCCCAGCGCCCTGCTCCAGGCAGTTTCATTTTTGCAGTGGCTGCGCGTGTTCGTGGCTTGCTGACTTGGCGCCGGAGCCTGGCGAAAAGCATCCAGGAGATCTTCCAAGCCTCTACTGCAGTACTTTGGGTCAACCTGATGGAAAGAATGAAGATCGATGTGGAGTCTCCCAGCTATCAACGCCTATTGCAGGGTATGGCCAGTGACATGGACCTGTTCGAGTTGTTGGCACAGGGAAGTTCGAGTCTATGGCGATCGCAATTGGAGAAGTTCTTGGCGCCGATCATCGATCACCAAGCCTTTGAGATGCTGGTGAACGACATCATCCATGCGCAGGAGAGGGTGCTGGTTTTGCCGTTGAATTCATTAAGTTAGGATATCCGTGTTCATTCCGCTCAACCACACAGTGGAGTGGGGTGTACTCTCAAATTCACTTCCAGGTTCTTGTGGTTCAAGCAGAAACTTAAGGCAACGTGCTTCTCGTACGAGCAAACACACCGTCTCAAAATCCACAAGTGCCTTGAAATTTTGAGTTTTGCAGTGTTCTGCGGGCACATTCAATCAGCTGTGGATAAGGTATGCTGGGCCGTCAACGGCCATGCCATAGAACCATTTATATAGCAATGACCTGAACGGAGTTTGCTGCCGGTACGTGCCGTAGCATCGCACTTTCCCACCCACTGGGTGGGTTAAGTCAGAAGCATACACTCCCTGGAATCATCATGGAAGTGGATGGCATGGCCCCTTAGATCATTTTCCTCTACTTACAGGTGGTTTTCCACTTCCATGCTGATTCCAAAGAGTGCAATTACATGCAATTACTTTCAAGAGTGTCCCCTGACTGTAGGGCAACGCAGATCAAGATGTTCAGCTATCCCGGAGCACCTTTGGAGAAATCATGGAAGCCGTTCGAGAGTTCTTGATCTCATCCATGCTACGGAAGTTGGGCTTCAGTTTCGCAAGCTTGGCTTTGCGCATGAAGTACTTTGTCTTCGTGGCCCTGTAACTTGGCTCAGGAATGGCCGGGAGGATTGAGCATCGCCTCCATTGGGCTGTCCAGACAGCGATTGAGCATCACCTCCATTTACCGTAGCTGGAGGGTACTGTACCCACTGTACATGGTAGATGGGGCGCATCGGTCGTATTCCATGGACCGGTTTCATTGTTGCTATCACCGTGGCCACCGTGGCCCCGGGGCTGTCAGAAGTCTTGTCGCACTGTCAGAAGCTGAGGATCCTATTTGGTTTTCTGGCAGTGCTCTCTCAGCTCTATCCGCTGGAAGCCAATGTGAGTACCATCCTTGGAGGGATTGCTCCCATCATTTTGGGCATTTTGCTGCAGAAACCAGGACACATAGACTTGTTGACATTGCGCTTTTTTTGGGGGGGTTATGTCAAGGCAGACAAGTTTTACATCCAGAATACTCAACCCTTTTGGTGAATCTGTTGACTTTTCCTAGTTCAATGTTGCGGCGCGCATACCTCGACTGGTTGGCAGTTCTTTTTGAGCAATATCTTGAAAAGAAGCAAAGCCGAACTGGACCCTACGAGATTTGTACTTTGCGGGAAGCTCCAAACTCTGTGGGTTTCACGGACCCCCTCGAGACGTGCAACGTGCTCAAACTCCCAGCAGCTGGAGCAGCTGTTTTGTGATTCTTTGCCTCGTTTCGCAGTTCCGTTTAAAGCCTGCCAGGACAGCCCCGAGTGCCGGCAGACCTGAAACATGCCTTTGAAGAGATGCTGAAGTCACTCGTGCTGGGCTGCCAGGCTCCGGTGCGTCGAAGCGGTGCCGTGGTGCGGTGCCGTGGTGCGGTGCCGTCGAGCGAACAGTTTGAGTCGTTCGTGTCGTTCGTTTCAGGTCGTTCCCGGAGTTGTCCGGTGGTTTTTCCTTCCAACAAAAACATCCAGAAGGTAATTCATGAAGGAAAGTTGCGTGAACCAATCAGGCTTTTCATACCCTTTTGAGATCGAGGGTAGGCATGAGCTCTTGGAAGTACCTTGCCTTTGTAGAGGCAATGCTGGTAGAGCTTCGCGAGCAGAAGCAGAACATTCTGGATTGGCTTCGCGAACTGCGCATCAATGACCAGTTTGTCCAGGCGGGAGGGCGTAAGTCAAGATTCAGACCCGTGGGAAAGGCAGGCCTAGGGTGCAATCTGTTTCGGTGGTTGATCGCCGGTGGTTGCATAGATATCTTGCTAGTAAAAAAGCATCAGCGCGTTTGTAGGTTCATAAGGGCCCCGTGGACCTTTTCTGCTGACATTTGCTTTAATCTGCTAGTCCTTGTTCTGGGCTGCGAGCGCACGGGAACATCAAGTGTCAAGCAGAGCCCCCTAAGCTGAAAGGCAAATGTGTTTTCATGTTGACACTCTTATATTTCGTGTGGGTCAGTCCAACTGAGAGTCCAAAGAAAGCTCCAAGACTCAAAGATCCCTTCGGTTTTGGAATTGTCAACCTGCAAGAAGCATAGAAACCACAACCTGAAAAAGGCCTTGATATAAACGCGTAAGCAATATTGAAGACCCACGAATTCTATCTAATTCTGACTGAATCCATAGACCTTTTGTTTGTTTCATCCAGCCCAGTGGCTCCACCAAACGGTCCCACGAGGTCAGCGCATTCGACGACTGGGGTGTGTGGGGCGTCCAGGAGATGTTGGAAGTCGACCCCTTCAGCCTGCTCCAGCTGGCGCAGCAGACCAAGTTCCAGAAGTTGCTGGAGTTCCTGGCGAAGAGATGCCTGGCTTTACTCGGCTTCGTTCCGGTGTTTTTCTTTTTTGGGAGTTCCAGTTTATGATAGTTTATGGGTCTGTGCGGACTGTGTGGAGAATTCGAGCACCAAGTCGTTGCTGCTAAATCTTCTAATTCTTTTGCTACCGTCCTCCTCTCATCCTGACATCAAGCAAAACATCCAAGCAAGAAAGGCTACGGAATTGTCCGGTTTTGCCCTTGCTCCAGAGCCTCAGAGTTTCTTTCAATTCCCAACTTTCGCCCTACAAAGACTGGCCGCACTGAGCTGTGACTATTACCATCAAAACCGCTGTGCGATCGGTTCAAAGGATCGAATGATCTCATCTTCGCTTGCGAAAGCTCTCATATATCGGTATCCCCACCTCATGTGTTCATGCTAAGTTGTAACTGTCAGTTGTTCAGGAGTGTCCTTTCTTTTGTACGGCTCATCGCCCTCGACAACCTCGCGCTCAGGACCGGGCCGTCCACATGGTCCCTCAGAACCGGAGCAGTTCCTGGAGTTTCTGGCCGTCTTCGAGGCGACGTACTCGGCCGTGAAGACGACGTCTCCTCGCTTTGCTCAAATGGTCGACCAGCAAGTGCACCAGTTCTTGCAAGGACACCTTCAAGCTCTTCTGGAGCCGCTGAGTTCGGACGTGGCCCTTGAAGTCCAAGAAGCTTTGCGCAAAGCCAGTGAGTCTGATGTGGATACTCTGGAATGGGTTGGGCGGATGATTCAGCAGCTGTGTCATCCAGATTTCCAGGAGCTCCTGACAGCCTTACGAGAAAGGAAAGGTTGTGTGGCGCTCAAGACAACTGGCCCACATTCATCAGGGTTTGGTTACATGGTCTTTGGAGTGGGGTTTACGATGCTTTATGACCCTGTGGTTCGTGTTAGGGAGCCACCCTGTCTTATTTCTCGAAGTTGTTTCAGTTGATTTTGATTTTTTGTAAATCTGGGTGACCTTTTGTTCATGTGCTTGACGTGCTGTGGAGCTCGGAGCACTAAGGATCCTTGCCAGGTTTGACGTTGACCCCGCTCTTGCCCAAATCCATATCTCTTTGCAAAAGCTTGCGCTCAAGCACGTGCTTCGCTTGTTGGGTTCTAGTGAGCAGGATGCTGACAGGATTGCTGCTGTACAAGATTGGCAGCAAACCTTTGCATTACTCGTCCAGCTGGTTGTAGAAAAGCTTCGAAATGAGTTCGAGCCACCGTTGTCGGAGGGTATGGACTGGAAGAGCATTGAAGCATCAGTCGAAAAGGAATTTGGCTCAATTGAGTCTTTGGTGGGATTGTCCGGCAATATGAAAAGCATCGAAGAGTTTGAGAAGAAGTGCTTGGACAAAATTGCCGTGCTTCTTATCAATCAGAATGTGCAGAACTCCAGAGTTCAACTTTCACCTAGTGGCATGGAGACCATTTTCCACCTATTGGAAGTCTCGGACATCAAAGAAATACTGAAAGATCCTATGAGTTTCCGAAGTGAGTCGTTGTGGGAGAAGGGCAACAAAGTCGCAGCAAGCTTGGCCATCGAGCACCTGAGACTCCAGAAGTCTTTTATAGAGCAAAAGATGCCAGAACAGGCTGAGTGGGCAGACATTGAAAGGTTGGTGGAGAAAGTCGCCCCAAGGGAACTCCGTGATGCTTTCGCTGATCCAGGAGCAGGCCTCATCCAGAGGGATGTACTTGTAGTACTTCTTGTTTGGGCCTGGACATGGTTACACTGTGTTAACACATTCTTTGGGTCAGCAAAAATGTGTGACACATGTGAAACCCAGTTAACAGATATATGATATATCAAGAATCATAACTCTATGTCTGAACATGTCGCCGTTTATCTTCTGCTCTGGCAGTTCTCTTGCGATTGTAAGACTCTTCTTAAAGTTGTTGCGTAACCAGCTTCCTGTCCCATGGGGACGCTCATCCGTGACATAGAGGATTGGCTGAGCGCTGGGGTTGGAGCGAATTTCTGGTCTTTGGGCGGACCACGAAGAAGGGACACGTTTGGTGCCTTCTTGTAGCACAGTGGTCAACAAGAAGGCACTGGGCACTAGGTATGGTTTTTTCTGCCGTAGTACCACCGGGTTCACGCAGGGTACTGCAAAAGTGCACTGCACAGAGTGCGATGGCTCACGGGCGAGCCAAAGCCTTGGCTCCAACACGTCTGCTGCGCTTGTAAGGTGCTCTCATGCAGGTGCCTCTTCCGAAGCAGAGCCCTTGCTTCCATGGTCCAAAAAAATTCGGTGGACCCGAACCTTCTTCTCCATGATCATCATCATCCATTCTCACGGAGCATGGCTGCCTCATTCGCTTGGGACGAAGTATCGCAATCCTTGGATTACCCTTTCTGCTCCTTGGTTGCTTCCACGAAAAGATTCCTGACCTGCACACGAAGTATCCTCCTGGCTAAGCCCATCAGACGCCTTTTGTGACGGACCCTGCCGGAGTGGAAGATCAGAAGGATGTCCCAGGAAAGATGGTGCAGAAGTTCTGTCCTCCTGTCCTCCTGTCCTTTACTGTCCTCTGACGAGTCACGAACTTGAACTCCTTGACTTCTGAATCATCATGCGTTTCCAGTCTCTTTCTCTTTGTCCTTTTTTTCTGCATTTTTTTGCTATAAGGGCGATGAGTGCCGACTCGATCTCGAACTTTCTTCACAGCTTTGGTCAGACCAGAACCCCTTCGCCTGGACCAGCTCAGACTAGACGCCTCAGACTGATCTCCCTGATGCTCTTGATCTCCGCCTGGACCAGGTTGAGACTGACTTGTTCCCTTCAGATGTATATATGTTTGGAAATGACCTTCCCTTCCGATGTCTGATCTTCTTCAAGCTGTTTATATACTCTTCGTTTAGCTCCCTTCTTTGATATCATTGTTTCTTTGTCTTTTGGGTTTGTCTCTTGCTGCTTATAGAGACCATTGAAAGCCGAAGCTGCAACACAGCCCCCTGATGCTCACCAGTTCATATTACTGTAGAAAGCGACAGTTGTTGTCCCTTGGTCTGTTTGGAGCAAGACACCTTGGTGTTTCCATCCGCTTGATGAGGATTCGTTGACTACCAGGGTCCTGCAGCTATCCATTGGGCAGTTCTACAGCTGAAACCATCCTTGCTAAAGCAGCTCAGCTGTCCAGTGAAACCCTTTCTTCTCTTCAGGTGTGGGTGGTTCCCCAGGTGAAAATCCTCCCAAATTTGGACCAAAAGGCAGTCTTTCTACCAGATGAATTCTCAAAACCAAGGCTGGGCTTTCAGCCACAAAGCATGGAAAATTTGGAGCCGATGCTTTTGCAGCTGGATGTGGACCAATTGAAGGAGGGCATCAAGAAACCTCAGACAGTCATCAGGCTTTTGGAAGGGAAAGGTGGGGAAGTCGCAGTAAACTTGGCCATTGAGCAGGCAAAACCATCCATACTGGAGCAATTGCCCAGCGGAGTCAGATGGTCTGATGTGAGTGATGTGCTCATTGAGTATTGTTCATCGAGTACTGCAGCTTTGAATTCTCTACAGAGTCCAACCTTTTCCTTGAACTCCCTGACTGATGATCCACATGTCCAGAAGAAATGGCAAGTGGCACTCGCACGAAATGCACTGGAGAAGCACTTGCCCAAAGGAATCACGTGGAAGGAGATTGAGCAGCTCGTGGAGGAAACAGATCCAGAGGAGTTACATGCTGCTCTGGCCGATGCAGCCGGAGCAGTCCTTAGTTGACCGAGGGGGTTCGCCACTGAGCACTGAGTTCATGCAACCGCCGCAACGCCGTAGCCGATGCGTGGTATCTCCTTGTTTTGGAGTGGCAGTCAGTGTAGCATACTGTACTGTAAATCTCCCGGAGGTGTCATGTACCCTTTTAGTGTATAGAATTGAATACGATCAAGCAAAAGTGTTGTCCAAAGGCGCATGGCAATGCGGCTTCTGGGTTTCTTGTCCACTCACTAGTGCTCTTTCTCGCGCACTGTATTCCTTTTTTTGGTTTCGTCTTATGCCAAACTTTTAAGCAAGCTCAAAACCAAAGCTGCAGAAACAAGGCAGTGCCAAGCGCCAATATCAAAGTGGAAGCACGTGAAGCCGAAACAAGGCCATGGACGAAGACACAACATCTTGGTAGCAATCACAACACACATCAAATACAACCTGTATAGACCCAACATCATGCCCCCCCCACATACACTTGTACTTAACTGCTATTGGTTTTCTCCTCTATTCAAGATGTTCACAGAAGGCCTTTGACCTTTTATCCCATCGTTCCATGACCGAGGATTCCAACAGTGGTGCTCCGGCCAACCGACCACGTCCAAGGCCAGTGCAGTCCGTTTGGGAGGTCTACTCCGGGTGTCCACCGGATTGCTCATGGGAGGTTGATCTCCTTGTTTACGGGCACGGGTGGGAAGTTGAGACGGTTTTGAAGCATTGGATCAATGAACATCTTGGTGATAAGAGTCCTTTGGTTGATTGATTCAACGATTCTGTTCTTCTTGCTTGCTGCACATGTGGGTGAAGGGGCCGGATTCACAAGTGAAACACGACCCTCTTGCAGCGCCCACTGACATCGAAGGAGACTTCCAAAGAAGAAGCTCATGGCCTTCATCAAACCATTTCTGAATCCCCTTCCACCGATCCACTTGCTGTACGGTCGCAGAACCCAGTTCAACCCACTGAGCCAGTCCAGACACGAGAGCCACCCCAAAGTCTTTCTGAAGATTCACCCAAAGCTCCCAAGTTGAAGGGAAAAGCGGGACGCAGCCCGGCTCGCTTTGGTCGCAAGGGCGTGCTTCGACCCGCATCAAAGGCGAATCCCAAAGAAGAAATGCAGCAAGCAGGTTCCGCATCCTCTTCCACTGATCCACTTGGATTGGTGCGGAAGCCGATTCAACCCATCGAGCCAATCCAGACACCAGAGCCACCCCGGAGTCTTTCTGAAGATTCACCCAAAGCTCCCAAGTTGAAGGGAAAAGCGGGACGCAGCCCGGCTCGCTTTGGTCGCAAGGGCGTGCTTCGACCCGCAACAAAGGCGAAACCCAAAGAAGAAATGCAGCAAGCAGGTTCCGCATCCTCTTCCACTGATCCACTTGGATTGGTGCGGAAGCCGATTCAACCCATCGAGCCAGTCCAGACACCAGAGCCTCCCCACATGAGTTTGGCAGATTCTCATCAAGCTTCTTCCAAGGCTTTGAAGGCCTCAGGGTCCTTGAAGAAATCGCCTACAACTCTGTGGTCTTCGGATGATGAACATCGATAAGTTGGCCACTTAAAGAAAAGCACACACACACACACTTCGAAGGTGGAGCAAACGTGTCCCTCGGCACCCAACAATCCCTTTTGGTGTTGCATAGTTCGATAATTTGTTTGATCTTCTTTTGTGTTTTTTTTGGCTCTGGGCAAATCTGGTTCCTCAAAGAAGAGGAGCTTGTCATCCTCCAGCAGCTTCCGACCACTTTGTCGACCAAAACGACTTCACCAGCTACTGTAGAGGCGAATCGCCGTCGCAGTGGAGGTGCCATCGCCGTCGCCAGGGCAGCCAGGATTGATGCAAGCAGGAATGGCAGGCGAGGGCAGCGGCACAGAGGTAGGTTGAGGGCTCCTTTGATGCACATTGAGGTGGCCATCCTTTTGAGGAACGCATCGAACATTGGTGTGAGACTGCAGGCATGCCAGCGAGGCAAGCCTTGTTTCACACATTGTGGCGGCTCGGAAAACTTGCCGCAAGATCATGATGAGACATGATGTGAGACGTGATGAGCAGAGTGACTTTACTTATATCTGAACTTTTGTGACTTTTTGTGTGGCTTTACCTTTCAGGTTCAGGTTCAGCAGACTAGATCTTTGTGGAAAACGAAAGCAACACGAGACTTCGATGTCTTCCCTCCAAGGCCTTCGATGTCTTTTCGGGATGAGACTACTGATGCTGTCTTTTCCTGACAATGACGCCTCGTGTAGAGCTGCTGATGGGCGACGATCGGCAACGCCCCTGACTTGAACAGTCGGTCACTGAGTTGCTTTTGTTTACCTGAATATACACTCTCGACTCCCTGAAAGAAATCATGGAAGTGGACAATTGCCCCGATTTCGGACAACCATTTTCAATCCGAAGACCACACAGGGGCGTTTCCACTCCGGCTTGTTTCAGGGACGGACCGATGCTGCGTATTGTTTGAGTGGACCAGACCGATGGCGGCACCGAAGGATCCACCGGAGTTCCCAACGAATGACGCTCCGCGCGGAGCTGCCAAGGCGCGGAGCTGCGGTTTCGACCGAAGCCCGTGATCATCCTGTGATCATCCTTTTTCGCTTCGCTCGGTGAACTGAAGATGATCACAGGATGATCACGGCTACGAATTCCGTGGTTCACATGAAGGAAAAGCCATCAGCGTGGCTCCCAGCTGACGCCTTCCGAAAAAGCATGGACACCAATATGAAGCAGCCCTGATGGCTTTGCTTTTCGAGGCGAGCCGCGCGCACGCCCGCAGAGGCCTAATTGAATTGCTTTCTGTTCTTCTTGTTGCTTTGAACACTTTTTGAATTCACATGTGCAAGTCACAATTGATTCTTTTCCTGGCACATGTACTCAACCCACCCGAAGGTTTCAGTAATTCCTCATGCTTATTCACGAGATGCGTGTTCACTACGAACTTAGAAACTGTCTTCCACATGAGGGCACACTATAAATACTTGATGTCCGTAATACGTGATGTCCAAAGCTCTCATTTTTTTAAAAAAGAATATATATATTTTTTAATAGACTTTTTAAGGATGGTCCTAAAAAGGTTTCCAAAGCTTTCCTTCATTCAGCAACCCCTGTTTCGAGCATGAAGAAGACCTGGACAAGACCTGGACGGCAAGAACGTGCGGGATCGGGGCAAGCAAGCCTTTATGCAATCAAGCAAAAACCAAAAATACACTCAAGGCCTCTCACTGGTCAACCATCTCAAAAATTGGAGTTATGGTCCGGTTTCTGCATGGCTCCTTGCTGTCGTTCCGTTGGGACTGCTTTTCCACCCAAAGCTGTCCGGAGCAGTCCGGAACGACCGGGCCCGGTGGAACGACTGGTCCGGTGTTCGATCTGACGACGCTCGTATCAGAGAGGTTGTGTCAGGTATACGACGCCCGTATGTCCCTTGTGTGAGAGTGGTACGGTGGGTTCTGCAATCCTGCTGAGCGCTGGTTGAATCCGGTTCCTGGTGTGGCTCTCTTGCTCTTTCGTTGGCCCGGCTCTTGACTCCCATTGGTCCACACGAACGTGAAGCCAGAGTGAAAGAAACATGCAGCTCAGAGAAACGGCTGTTCTCTTTTTCCGCATTTTTTCAAGGGTAGCATTGGTGGGGCCTTCTTCGTTGTTGACAGATGAGGAACAGATGTTGCACAATCAACACAAGATGGAAAGCACTCCAACAAAGCAAGGGGAGAAACCATCAATACTAGCGGGTGTTCAGACCTGCCGATCAACAGAGCTTGCATGAGTGTGAAACGTCAACAGCAGGTATTGGGTCATTCAGTTCGGAGCACCACCACACTGTGACGTGCGAAGAAAAAGGAACACCTAATTAAGTTAAACAATAAACTCAAAATAGAATTGATCATCAAAGGTCGCAGTTTCCAACCCGCATGCCTTTCGTAGGCTCACTTTCTTGTTTAACCTGCAAGCGCTTGCGATAGAAGCAGTTGCGATGCGAGGATATAATATGTATACCATTGTCCATTGTATATCTGTACATCGTAGTTCTAGACAGCAAAATACAAAGACGGGGAAGTGCAGGAGACTACAATACAATATGCAACAAACACCTTGTCGACAAGTATTAGACAGGCATGTTTACTGACAGCTTTTCGCAAGAAACATGTTGAGTTCGTATGAATGGGTTGGATCTTTGTGCACCTCTTCCAACCTTTTTCTGACTTGTTGAATCACTACATGCCGGGGTCTCCCGAGACGAAGCACACCCATCAAACCGCGGGCAACATCGACCGTGGTCGCTGGTCAGGCTGCCCAGCTATGCCCATCTTCCTGGTGCTGAGAGGTCCAGCTCCCAGACTGATCCCTGACATGCATCATTTGCTGCAGAACTTGTGGATGGATGCACAACATGCCCAAGATGCATTCGCGATTTTGACCAAACTAACCATATCCATCACAACTGGTGTTTTTGGGTTCTACTCAGCTAGATAGGACTCCGATAGGACTATCGGAGTCTAGGACACCAACTCACCCCAGCCTCTCAAAGATACCCCGAAAATGCCAAAGGTTGGTGTTTACGCTCATAGTCATGGGTCTGTTCCAACAGACGTGTCTTCGACGACTTCCCGTGACGGATCAGGGCGGCCGAATCCGAAGCCGGCCTAAGCGAGCCTGGCCAGTTTAGAGCTAACTTGGCTCAGTGCAACAAAGTGCAACAAGAAGCTACTAGGAACAAGTGCATCGCTTCTAGTAACAAGTGCCTTACTAGTAGTAACAAGAAGCTACTAGGAACAAGTCTTGGAAAAGAAGTTGACGTAGCGTGTGGCATGAGCGGCCCGACTAGAGCAGTGATTTTGGATGTGCCAGTATATAAAGTGGCACTTGAGCCATTCATCATAAAAACAATAGAAAAGACTATATATAATATAAAAGAAGCCAATGTTGACAATTTTGTTCAGTGAGAACAATTTTTCTCCACAGCCATCACAGCCTCAGCTCTCATCATCTAACAGTT